ATATATATATATATATATATATATATATATATATATATATATATATATATATATATATATATATATACCCACGCTAGCTCATCCTGTCTGCTGCAGTGTGCATACACCCGCGCGGCCCCCAAACACGCAGCAAAACAGCAGCAGCAGCAGCAGAAACAGCAGCAGCAACAACAGCAGCAGCAGCAGCAGCAGCAACAGCAGCAGCAGCAGCAGCAGACATACCTGTGCCTCTTCTTCTGGGGTGAAGTCGTTAACAATGTTAAACTCCCTGCGGATTTCTTCGGGGGTTCGACCTGCTCATACACCCCACAGCAGCAGCAGCAGCAGTAGCAGCAGCAGCAGCAGCAGCAGCAGCAGCCGCAGCAGCCGCAGCAGCAGCAAAAACAGCCCAAGTCCCCGTGGCTGCTGCTGCAGCACTGTGTGGAAGTGAAGCAGGAAGAGGCACCGCACGACCCGCGAGCAGCAAGATCATCATCATCATCAGCAGCAGCAGCAGAAGCAGCAGCAGCAGAAGCAGCAGCAGCAACAGCAACACCAGCAGCAACAGCAGCAGCAGCAGCAGCAGCAGCAGCAGCAAACCTTTGATCATAGAAGCAACTTTGGCGGAGGTGAGGAGGAGGAGAGAAGGGATATTGAGATAGTCTGCTGCCAGCAGCAAATCGAAGAGAACTGTCTGCTCCACGTTAACAAAATTAAAGTCAAATTCAGACACAACCTGCAGCAGCAGCAGCAGCAGCAGCAGCAGCAGCAGCAAGAGCAGCAGCAGCAAGAGCAGAAGCAGCAGCAAAAGCGGCAGCAGCAAACAGAAAAAAGGAAATGTTGAAATACAAATATATAACGAATATATAAACACAAAGGCAAAGGAATAAACAAAAGGAGAAACAAATAAACAAAGATAATGACAAAGAAATATACAAAATAATACACAAACAAACAAATAAATATAAACAAAAAAAAGAAAAAATAAGAAAACAACAACAGCAGCAGAAGAGGAAAGAACGGGAGGACTGCTGTCCCCG